CTTGGAAGATTTTGATTCTGAATCCATGGCAATGGCTAATTTGAGGGTGAAAAGGCCGAGTTTCAAAGCACTGTTTAAAACCATATTAATATCTTTATAATTCAAAAAGTTGTAGCTATTAGATTAATATTGGTTCTTGAACTTTATGTTAATTAATGTTACATAGCTAGTGGACTTCTTCTTATCTTCAAAGTTAAAAATATAGAGGAAGTGTGAACAAGTTGGCTCAATCAGCATTTATCTCTTAGAGTTTAGCTTTTAGAAAGTTGTATAAATTCTTCACAGATGGTTTATGTTCAGAAATTTTGTCATCGTTTCAAGCTACATAGATCAGGTTCCTGAAATTTTGACTTTGTATTCCATCATTTTTGGTTATACTTTCTTTTTGTTTATATGACTGATAAGATATGCAAACTAAATTTTCTTCTCAGAAGTTGAATCAAGATACTCGGCTACTCTGGTGCTGAAACGACATTCAAAATAAATTCGAGTCAATCAGGTTCAAGGCTGACTCGAGTCGAATCTGGTTGCAAAAATGGCGATGGATCATACTGTAAAAGTGATTCTCGGCTCAATTGCCTTCGCAACGTTCTGGTTATTAGCTGTTTTCCCTGCTATCCCATTTCTACCAATTGGGAGAACTGCAGGGTCTCTCCTGGGGGCAATGCTAATGGTCGTGTTCCGAGTCCTAACTCCAGATCAAGCGTATGCGGCCATTGATCTCCCAATACTTGGTCTTCTATTTGGGACAATGGTAGTAAGTGTTTATCTTGAAAGAGCTGATATGTTCAAGTATTTGGGTAAGGTGCTATCATGGAGGAGTAAAGGAGCAAAGGATTTGATTTGTCGAGTGTGTCTGATATCTGCAATTTCAAGTGCTTTCTTCACCAATGACACGTCGTGTGTGGTTTTGACCGAGTTCGTTTTGAAAATTGCTAGGCAACATAATCTTCCACCTCGTCCCTTCCTTCTTGCCCTTGCATCAAGTGCAAATATTGGTTCCTCAGCCACACCTATTGGCAACCCCCAAAACTTGGTGATAGCTGTTCAGAGTAAAATCCCTTTTGGAAAATTTGTGGTTGGAATACTCCCAGCTATGCTTGTTGGTGTTGTTGTAAATGCTTTGATTATTCTTATCCTATATTGGAAATTGCTATCTGTTCAAAAGGATGAAGAAGATCCATCCTCAGAAATTGTAGCAGATGAAGTTGTTCTTTCTCATAGATTTTCACCTGCCAGATTGTCACACACACAAATTCCATCCCTCAACTCTCCGGAATGGGAATCTCGGTTGGATTCGATGAACGCAAACGTCGAAACTCAAAGAAATCCAGTAAGTTCAAAAGAAAATGAAATCCACAGGTCTCATAGTGCTTTGACAGAGTCGGCAAGAATATCAGATGCATCTTCTCAGAAAAGGGAAGAAGGGTTTTCTTCTAAGAGCCTAAACTCAATGGATAAACAGAAAGAATCAGCATCTTTGCAGTCCTCTGAAGAAAAGGAGCATTGGAGCACAAAATGGAGAAGGATTGCATGGAAATGCTGCGTTTATCTTGTGACTATAGGAATGCTTGTTGCTCTGTTGATGGGGTTGAACATGTCATGGACTGCAGTGACTGCTGCACTAGCTCTTGTGGTTCTTGACTTCAAGGATGCTCAGCCATGCCTAGAAAAGGTTTCCTATTCACTTTTAGTGTTCTTTTGTGGGATGTTCATGACGGTTGATGGGTTCAACAAGACTGGACTGCCAAGTGCTTTTTGGGATTTCATGGAGCCGCATGCTCAGATTGATCGTGTTTCTGGGACTGTTGTGCTTGCTCTCGTCATACTATACCTCTCAAACTTGGCTTCAAACGTGCCTACTGGTACTAAATTCTTCCTTGCTTTCCAAGTTTTCAATTTTCTTTTCCAATTCCATTATATCTTATGCTTTTTGAGTGTGATCTTGTTAGTTCTACTGCTTGGAGCACGTATCGCCGCGTCGGCTGCTGCGATATCTGCAACGGAAGAGAAACGAGCATGGCTGCTTTTAGCTTGGATCAGTACTGTGGCTGGAAACCTCTCATTGTTAGGCTCAGCTGCCAACTTGATTGTGTGCGAGCAGGCTCGTCGCACTCCACAGCTAAGCTACAATTTGTCCTTCTGGAATCATCTTAAGTTTGGAGTTCCCTCAACTCTCATTGTCACTGCCATTGGTTTAGTTCTTATAAAGTGATTTCCTTTTGTTTTTTCTTGCTTTCTTTTATGAATGGTTAGAACTGTAGATTTCGTTTGAAGTTCATCAATAGATATGAAGAGTGTTTCCTTGATAAAAGTCTGTACAAATTTATGTATGACACAATTGTTCCAAATATGGTTGAGTTGAGAATCGAAATTAATTGATAAATACCCATTTTTTAATATTTATTATTAATGCAAGTCTAGCTATTTTGCCTCTATTTTTAAAGGGTGAAGGTGTCGGCTTGGTAGTCCATGTCGCAAATGATGAGTGTTCGCCTTTGGTCTACGTGGATTAGAGGCCCAACTAATGCGCGAAACACTCTGTCTGAAGAGTACGATCGCTACTTCTTCCCTATCTCTAAAGGGTGAAGGTGGTGGTCTGGCAGTCCATGTCGTAAACAATAAGTGTTCACCCTTAGTTTACGTTGATCAGAGACCCAACTAATGCGTGAAACACTCTGCCTGAGAAGTACAATCACTACTTCGTCCTTATCTCTAAAGGGCGAAGGTGGTGGTCTGGTAGTCCATGTCCTAAACGATGAATGTCCTTGGTCTATGCAGATCAGAGGCACTTTTAGTCTATGTCCTAAACGATGAGTGTTCACCCTTGGTCAAAGCAGATCAGAGGCACTTTGTTCGAGGAGTACGATCACAAGACCGAAACTCAAAGCATATTCGTCGGCTAAAGTTATTGATCGAATCTGTGGTTGGGATAATAAAAGATTGGAAATAAGTATTATCGAGCTAATTATTTTTGTTAAGATTGGAAATAAGCATACTAGTTATTCTATCGAGCTAATTACACAAACAAGTTATACTTTCATTTCGATAAGACAGATCAAATACAAGAGATTATTATTCGGGATGTGAACAATAATTTCTTATCTTGAAATTCCTTTACTCAATCAACCTTGAGAATCATTTAAAGCTTGAAAGAATGAAAATTAAGAAAGTCATCTCATAAACAGAAATATGCTAAGAATCATCTCAACTTTGAAAACAAAAGGATAATTTACAAAAATAGGCACAAGTATCAACCACATTTGTTCGATCATCTTTTTTCGACTAGAGGCGTTCATTGATTGAATTGGCCGAGTTAAAATATTTATTAGATACGATTCCGTAGTACAATTTTTTTTCAATTATTAAGTAATGAATTCAACGCGACTATAAAATATTTGAGTTAGGTTGGTTCGGTTCGGTTCATTTATTCAAATTTTTGTTTTCAATAAAAGTAAAACGTTCATATAAAAACGTCTATTTCTTTATTTTAAAATTTTGTATTAATAAAAAATTGCATTGTAAAGATTTAAAATTTTATAGCTGATACGCCCTTCACTATTCCATATTGTTTTAAAATTCAAGTTTCCATAGAAGTAAATTTGGAAAGTTGAGGGCCTAAATATGCAATTTGACCAAAAATATGTACGTACAACACGCTGTCGAAGTAAACCCATGCAAATAATGGACTGGCCCAAATTCAAAAGGGTAGACCCGTAATCAGCCACCACTTGCATTTGGAGTATTGTGACTGCCAAAAAAAAAAAAAAAAAAAAAAAAAAAAAAATCATCAAAATGAAAAAGAAAAAAGAAAAAAGAAAAAAGAAAAAGGGATATTCAAATTACATTTCTTAAAGCCTTTTGTTAAATAATATTTTTATCTTCTATTTTTTTGGTTTTTAAATATACTCGTTAAAAAAAAATTAAAATATTTTATGTTGATAACTCATAAATTTCTTAAGAATCATGTGAATAAAGACAAAATATGTTTAAACGACTTGTATTAGTTTGTGAATACATTATTCACTATTAAATGTTTCTGAATACAAAATTTTACTATAAAATGTGTTATTTATGAAATTAGGTGTACATAGTATTTAAATTTATTTTTTTAAATATTAAAATATCGATTATTCAATTTTAAAAAAATAAATTATAGGAAAAGTAAATGCACTAACTATTATCCCTATGATTTCTCCAACTTTATGTTAAAAGAATGTAAATAAATAAATAAAGGGCACAAAATGATGAAGTCTACTGCATTAGACATCATCACTTATTTACTTAATAATTAAGGCCCCACTAATAATTAGTCTTTTTTTTTTCTTTTTATAAAAATATAATTATAACTAATAATTTATTTATTTTACTACTCACATTTTAAACATATTATAAGTATTTATCCAGGAGGGTTCAATAAATACAATATTATAATAATCTCTGAAGTAAAAAACTATATTTTTAAAGAATGACTTATAAAAATTAAAATTATTTTTTCGAATTTATAAATTTGTGAAATTATAATTTGGAATATTTTCCCAAATTTTAAAAAACTATTTTATTTTCATAAAATTCATATTTAGGTTTTATGGTTGAAAAAACAAGAAATTATAATTCAAAATTTAAAACGGTGTGAACTAATGACTAAAAAAAAGTCAACACTCAATTTTGAGAAGAATATTATATAAATATTTATGACAATAATATATATTCATTATTATATATATTTATAATGAAAATGTTAGTATTATATGGTTGACATAACATAATGTTGGAAACATAATCACGTAACATAATGGAAACGATTAAAATAAAATAAATAATAACTTGAAAGTTAAAGTTGAAAAATTAAATATTAAAAAAAAAAAAGAAGGTTTATTAAAGTTTGGTGGCAGGTTCTAGAGAGAGAAAGAGAGAAGAAAAGCAATGAATGATGAAATAATTTATTTTATTTACGCATTTCTCAAAATATATTAAAAATATCAACTTTCGACAACTCCATGTCGTCGCTGAGGCAGACTCTTTCTCTTTCATTTCTCTCTCTCTCTCTCACTTTCGTTGCGCGATTTTCTCAATCCCACAATTCAGTATGAAAGGGAGAAGATTGATGTAACGTTTCGCCTCTGATAATTTGTGATTTCAGATTCTAGGGTTTCGATTCCTCTAATTTCTCTTCAGTTTGAATTACTGTGGAAGTCTACCTCACTAGGATTTGGGCGAGTAGAGTGGGATTCTACTGGAATTTGCAGTTTCCGATATCTAAGGTAACACTTCTTCATTTCTTTCTTTTAATCTAATTTTAGTAAATTATTGATTATCCGGTTTTAGTTTCTTTAGTCACTGTGCTAGTTTATCTGTATTAGATTCATGGTAGATCTGTATCGTAGAGTATAGTTTCGAGCGCGATGGACGTGTACCTCTTTGTTTGATTTCCTAATAAGCTTGGGAAAGAAAAGGAGGAAATTAAATTTGGAAGTGTGGTTGGTGACGACAGAGCTTAATGGTTCAGTTCATTTTGTTGCAGTGGGAATTTCGGTTTATATCAGATGACACAAGCGATTAGAGGTTGGATTTGGATTTGGATTTGGATTTTTTTTTTTTTTCCATCTGATCTAGTCAATTTTTTTCCTACCTTTCCTTAATAAGAAGTTCTTCGGAGTGGAAGGCAGCTAGAATCATTCGATTTTATGTTGGGTATGCTGACTGTCTAATCGTTTTTACTTGTTCGGCGGTGTAATTAATGGTCTCAAGCTCTCATTAACCATTAGTTTTCCCTTATTGCGAGGATTAAAAGTTGCTTACCAACTTTGATTCTTTATTTTTATTATTCTGTTTTGTTTTTTTCCTTCTCAATGTCCATCAATGAGACTTTTCTTTTAATACAGATCAAGGACTATATTTTATATCAATAAAAGTAATTACGTGAGAAACTGGACAAAGTTTTATAACCCCATTGAAGAAGTAGATTTGGGGATTATGAAAAAATCTCAAATTTATCAATGATAAGATAATAGAAATTTGACTGTCTCCAATTAAGAAGTTGATTTGGGGATTATTAAAGAGAGTCAAATAGTGCTTGAAAAATCTCTGCACTATTTTCTTAATTCAAAGATTCAAAGGTATTTTGTGATTGTGGACCCATATCAGCCACGAAAGGCACTATTTGTCCAATCGTCTCATCTGTACCTTTCAAATTTGAAACTCAGATTCAAACTGTAAGATTGTGATTGTCGGTAGTGATTCGTATGCAGTGGAGGACTTCAAAAGCTTTAGAAAAACTTACCCATTTTTTGCAGTATTGCTGCTGAAGAATATAAAGCTAATGGATCCAGAGTTTGCTCGTAACATGTTTGTTATATCTGAGGTCGTGAAATCCTGAATTTCCTGCATGCACAAGCTCACTTTTCGTTCAGGCTATCTAGACATTTTTTTAGAACATATATATATATTATTTAAATTCTAACTGGATCCGTTTTCAATTTTTATAATAATAAATATAATGCTGTTTCTCTAAAAGATACATCATCTTCTTGGTATCTTAAGCACTCAAATTTCCACTTCCTTTTCATGCAGGATTCTGTTACAAGTTCCTGATTGTTGGGCTTTCTCAAATCTTAGCTGAAGTGGTAGTTTGGGTCCTCAGTCACAGCTTTACCAGCGTGTCTATGGTATGAAGGGTATCATTTACTTGTCGGATGCCTTGGAAGTGTAACATCTGCTTAATCATCCGTTTTCACGAAATATTTTCTCCTGCAGAGTGAGTTCAATTTAGAGTCGCTTCTTTGCTTCATCCACATAATTTAGGATAAAAGCCAAAAATGCCTTCATGGTGGGGGAAGTCGTCATCCAAAGAAGTTAAGAAGAAAGCGAGCAAGGAAAGTTTCATTGATTCATTACACCGTAAGTTTAAGAATCCACCTGAAGGGAAAGTGAACTGCAGATCAGGAAGTTCTCGTAGACGTGGTGGTGACACTATATCTGAGAAGGGGTCTAAATCACCTCTATCAAGATCACCATCACCTTCCAAAGAAGTATCTAGATGTCAAAGTTTTGCTGAAAGATCACGTTCTCACAAACTTCCACTTCCAGATTTGCACCGCGTGGGTATAAGTCGCACAGATTCTGGGATTGGTGTGACAGCAAAATCTAAATTAGAGAGAAGTTCCAAGACATCTTCATTCCTACCCCTCCCTAGACCTGCATGTATTCGAAGTAGGCCAGGGCCTGCAGATTTGGATGGAGATTTGGTCACTGGTTCAGTCTCTGGTGAGTCCTTGAGTGATAGTGATGATCCCAACGATTCACGACAACGTAGTCCTCGGGCAACAGACTTTAACATTGGGGCTAGAACTGTGATAGCTTCTACTGAACCTAGGTATGCTCTCACATCTTTATTTCATTTTTATCTTTCATTCGGGAGTCATTCTTTTCATTGTCCGTAGTCTTGGTTGAATGGCTGAATAAGGTCACTTGCATCATTTTGTCCATATTCTACAGCAGTCAGCTTGCATCTGATGCGTTGTTTTTTAACTTATTATTTTACTTGTCCCTTACATATTTGATGGATTCTTCTGAAGTGCAACTGTCAAAGATCAGTCTCCTACTGTCGTGCAAATACATTTAAAAGAGGGGAAGAAAGCGGAAAATGTTCTTTTTCCTCATAAAAGTGCTTCAATACCCAAACGGAGGCCTTTAAGCAGCAACGTAACAAATCTACAAGTTCCTCGCCATGGGGCCTTCTTTAGTGCTCCTGATAGTTCTATGTCTAGTCCCTCCAGAAGTCCTATGAGGGTATTTAGCACTGAGCAAGTCGTGAACGCTGCTGTTTGGGCTGGAAAATCTCACCCAGATGTCATTTTAGGTGGATCTGGCCATTGTTCGAGTCCTGGTTCTGGTCACAATTCAGGGCACAACTCTATGGGAGGTGATATGGCGGGCCACTTCTTTTGGCAACAAAGTAGGGGTAGCCCTGAATATTCTCCAGTACCTAGTTCTAGAATGACTAGCCCCGGCCCTAGTTCCAGAATTCAAAGTGGTGCTGTCACGCCTATTCATCCTAGAGCAGGAGCTCTACCTGCTGAGTCACAAACATGCTGGCCTGATGAGAAACAAACTCATCGTTTGCCTCTTCCTCCCATAGCAATCTCAAACTCTTCACCGTTTTCACATTCAAATTCCGCAGTGACATCTCCTACAGTTCCTAGGAGTCCAGGAAGGACAGAGAATCCAGCAAGCCCAGGTTCACGCTGGAAAAAGGGGAAGCTGCTGGGTAGGGGAACATTTGGGCACGTATATGTTGGTTTTAATAGGTATGTTAACAGAGTAAACATTTAATTTGTCAATGTCACTGATTCAACAAAAGTTTCTTCATTCACAATACTAGTTATGATGCTGTAGCTATTAAACCTTTACTATAATATTGATGCCATTTATTTCTCTTACTTGTGAGGTCAGTCGTTTTTAGTGCGTAACATGGTTGATTTTCTACCACCGATAACATAATACGTAACATGTCTTCTGTTTTTTTGTTTCCAATGTGTTGCTCTCTGATTTCTATTTCTTTTCTTTTTTTTGGTTCATTTATTGCAATCATTTAGCGAAAGTGGAGAAATGTGTGCAATGAAGGAGGTCACGTTATTTTCTGATGATGCAAAGTCCAAGGAAAGTGCTAAACAATTAATGCAGGTACAAGTTCCATTTTATGCAAATCTCATTTAGTGCTTCCGTTTTTCACTCTTTAATATTTCTATTTTTTATTTAGAATTTACTTTTCAATTTTATGGTAGGAAATTGCTTTACTGAGTCGTTTGCGGCATCCCAACATCGTGCAGTATTATGGTTCGGAAACAGTGAGTATTTTACTTCTAATTTAATTTTTGCTGTTAACATTCTCGTTATATTATTAGAGGGAAGAGGTTGTGTTGAAGTTGTCCTATTTTAAAGAAATCCTTCCCCTTTCTGTGGATGGAATTTCCTCCATTCAGAATGAGGCATCTATACTGTTTAGGATTCAACTCGAGACCTAATGGGTGTGGTTGGAAATCTGGATTTAGGTGGTTATGTAATCTTTCATGTTTGAACATGTAATTTTTTTATTTGAAATCATTTGTAACAGGTGGGTGACAAATTCTATATATATCTGGAATATGTATCTGGTGGTTCCATTTATAAATTACTACAAGAATATGGACAATTTGGGGAACTAGCAATTCGTAGCTATACTCAACAACTGCTATCAGGACTTGCATATTTGCATGCTAAAACTACAGTGCACAGGTGATTGTGATTTAAGAATCTTGCCCACAGTTTTTCTGACACATGCAATAGTGTAGTACTGTCGTAGCTGCTACAATCTTATTGTACATTATTTGCCGGACTTTTTACACGATTGAACTTCTAACCTCTGCAGGGATATTAAAGGAGCAAACATACTTGTTGACCCAAATGGACGTGTTAAGTTGGCGGACTTTGGGATGGCAAAGCATGTAAGATAGCTCACAGTTTGTACCTTACTGTACCGCAAATTATATGCTTTGAAAGCATTACTAATTTTGACATCTCCATCCATTAAAGTTATAGAGCTTGTTTTCTTCTTTTTGTTTATCAATTATCAACTATCTTGTGCATATCAAAATTGTACATAACAAGTAATATTTGAATTATTGTTAAAATTCAATGATAAAAGTCAATTGTAATATGGAAAATAGGAAATTATTAAATAGTATATACGAAGAACATATGTTATTGAAAACCCATGATTTTATTTTAGTTAATGATTAACAAATGCACATTTATCAGTTTCATATTTATCTACTATATTTACATTGTATATGTTAGAATTTACTTCTCAAAGTTTTTCTATTATAAGTTATTCTAGTATGTGGATATACACTGAAATCTTCGAACTTTTCATTCAATCAACATGGTAAGACATTAGTAAATCTATGATCCTTTTTTACTTACAACAGGATGTTAGTGAGTTAATGCACAGCTGTTTTTTTTTTTCCTCTGTTCCCTTTGGTTCCAGATCACAGGCCAATCATGTCCACTATCATTGAAGGGCAGCCCTTACTGGATGGCACCTGAGGTAAGAATTTATTGTATATTTAAGCAAAAATCATAACTAAATGATTCATACATCTGACCAAATATTTCCTAGGTCATAAAGAACTCAAATGGTTGCAACCTTGCTGTTGATATTTGGAGTCTTGGATGTACCGTTCTGGAGATGGCTACTACGAAGCCACCCTGGAGCCAGTATGAAGGGGTGAGTAAGGACGCTTTTAAATATCTAAGCAATAAAAGCGTTTTAAATAACAGGACTTACAGTTGTTATAAAATCTCTACTGGACTGATGAGAAAGCACATCTAAATCCCCAATAATCATTTTGAAGGCTTTTGGTGTTGTATTTTCATTTTTAGTTTAATTATTATAAGACGCTTTCTATTAGCATTGTAATTTGTACGGAAATGTTTTCTTTTTTTTACACATTATTATTTATTCTTCTGAAAGTTCTTGGGTTCGTGTGTGGTCCGGTCTATCTTGAATGTTTTCTTGAAGCTTACTCTCACAATTCATACACAGTACCTTGTTCTTTGTTCTGACGATGGGACATTTTATTTCTTGCCTAAAGGTTGCTGCGATGTTTAAGATTGGTAATAGCAAAGAACTCCCGGTAATTCCAGAGCACCTCTCAGATGATGGGAAGGATTTTGTGAGACTATGTCTGCAACGAAACCCACTTCATCGACCTACAGCTGCTCAACTCTTGGAGCATCCCTTTGTCAAATATGCTGCGCCTGTAGAGAGGCCTATTTTGAGCTCTGAACCTTCTGATACAACTCCTGGGGTTACAAACGGAGTGAAGATTTTGGTACACTTTTTTTACATTGCTTTTTGATTCATCACAGCACATTAATTCACGAAGCGTATGGCTCTCTTGTGGTTGGGTTTTGTTGCTGTCTGCGCTATTTCATTTTACTGCAAATGCGGTTACAACGGCTTCTCCTTAATTTGCATGGTGCAAATGATTCTGCTATGTTTTGCGATCTTACTTGGTTCTTATTTTATATATATTGATATTTTAGTCAAATATTAGGCTAAGCTACGTGACCAGCTGTGAGTCCATGACAAATTAGTAGAGTTTTGATGTTTAAATAGCTCTAGCACACTTGGATTATTGTGGAAAGATTCGTTTGGTTAGTTCTGTATTTTCTTTCCATCTTGGTTCTGAGTTTTGTCTATTCATCACTTCCAGGGTATTGGTCAATCACGGACTACTTCTGTGGACTCTGATAGTAGACTTGCAGTTCATTCTTCAAGAGTCTCAAAATCTGTTCTTCATGCCAGGTTCTTTCTTCTTCTCCCCTCCCCCAAATCCTCAACTAAAAATATATAAATAAAAAAAAAGATATACCCTGATTGAGGCGAGATTAATTCTGATTTCATTTTTCATCCAGTGAAATTAATATTCCCAGAAACATATCATGCCCTGTTTCACCAATTGGAAGCCCTCTTTTGCACTCGCGATCACCTCATACCAGTGGAAGAATGTCTCCTTCACCCATATCAAGTCCACGAACCACTTCGGGCTCATCCACACCTTTGACAGGATGTAGTGGTGCAATTCCTTACAACCACTTGAAACAAGCTATATACTTGCAAGATGGATTTGGAAGCAAGCCAAAGTCCTTAAATAGCACTCCGTACAGCAGCTGTATATCCTTCCATGATTCAAATCCCGATATTTTTCGAGGGTTGCAGCCTGGGGCTCACATATTCTCGGAAATGATACCAGAAAATGATATCTTGGGAAAGCAGGTCGGACGGCCTGCTTATGGTGAATTGTATGATGGACAGCAGGTCTTGGCTGACCGAGTGTCTCGACAGCTCCTGAGGGATCATGTTAAAACAAACACCTCTCTTGATTTGAGTCCTACCCCCTCGACGTCTAGCCGCATGAATGGTATCTGACTCCAAATGCATCCACCTACTAGAGCTAGTTTTCAGGAATAAGAAGCTTTTTCTTTGGATTGGAAGGGACTACTACCTTATCACTACTGCCAAGAAAACGTTATTTAAGAACGGAGGGGGCGGGCATAGAGTAGACTAAGGTTATGATTTTTTAAGGATATCAAGTGGAAGTAGCTGGTATATGAAGTCTTCCACCACGGAATCAGTGGAGATAATTCTTTATACATTCTAATTTTTGAAGGATAAGAAGGCTCGTCTGTGTGGCTGAATTAACACCTGGCTCGATTTGATCGGCAATGACCTTCGGTATCAGTTTGTACAGTTTTCAAATGTTCGATTTATCATCTGACCAACTAATCTGAGATGCAAATTTTTTAACGTTGTTCATGCTGGATGACTTCTGATGATCCAATGTGATAAAGAGGTTACTTGAGATAGAGAGAACTACCCGCGGGTATCCATGGAGTTCCTGAACTAGGAAAGCATTTACAGAAGCTACAAATGTACATTTTTTTAGATCATCATATAGAAAGCTAAAGGACCAAATGGTAATTACTATCCCTGAACCTCATCCTTTCAACCAAAAAGAAAAAAAAAAAAAAAAAAAAAAAAAAGGAAAGAAATCATGCTGTACAGTTGTTGAAGGAGTGATCTGGCTTTAGCATCTGTCAGAGTATTATTGAGAGAATCAGGAATTTGTACAGCACATGGGATTAAAGTTCGTTATAGTGATTTATGGAAGTTCAGGTATGACTGTCATTTTATGTTAGTTTGAACCTGATTGTTGAATGCACAATACATTTTCAGTAAATTGACAGATTATTTTTCCATGCAGAAAGAGGGGATAATTCAGATTTGAGGCACAAATTTTGAAACCTAAAATCAAGCAATAGTTTATAATAAATATGAAATTTGGTTCTCATGATTTTAAATAAATTGTTGAAGTTTGAAATTGGATGAGAAAAATGAGAGGCTGGGCAGGCAAAAAAAATTTAGATGCTAATAACAAAAATATTACAGGAAAATCTAGAAATTATAACAAAAATAAGGGACTTTCCTCGACAACAAATCTGCTGGAGCAACCTGACACAAAGGACAGAATCATAAAAGATTTCCCAGTAAAAGGTAAAAAAAGGGGAAGGAAAAGAAAATTTTAAACTTCCAAGACAGAAGACCATTGGAAAAATTGGCTCTGCAAAGAATGTAAAAAACTCGTGGGTTAAATCCCATCCTGTCTCCCATTATCAGGTAGTAGTAGTTCGAACTTTAGGAATGTACTTTATCTTCGCACCCTTCTCAAATTTTGTCCTCAACTTGGTCTTGCCAGCTTCATTGGCCGAGGACTTGGGAGGCTCCAAGGTAATCGAAATTGCATGTCTGTCGAAATTTGACGGCTGGAATGCAGAGGAGGTTTCAGGGTCGTTTTGAGTTTCGAAACATCCCGAAGACTCGGAATCGGAGGGTAAATTCAATTTGACATGGTCGGCTGTTATAGCCTCCTTCCACCCTGCATCAACAAAACAATTAGACCACCTTCCCCACAAGAAGTAAGAACAAGACGTGTATCCATCCATCAAACGTATATACTTACTTTGTGCAAGGAAAGCTTTTGCAGCATGACTAGAGAACTCCAGGCAAACTGGTTGCGCAGGTTCTTCCCGGATCAAAGAGTTGTTTCCAAGGTCACCAGTGTCACCATCCAAGGAGGAGGATCGCGGAGAATACGTATTCAGCAGGGCCTGATCCTCTAGCTTTTCAGTTATCATTTCAGCTTCAGATTCGCCACTTTCACTTTGACCTGGCATTGCACATTTGGTTCCATTACGACTAACTGGCCTCCAATGCTTAACCATTGCCCGATTCGTCGCAGTTTGGACAGATTCCACCTTAATGAACTTCTCCAAATGATTATTAATCTTCTTAGGAGTTTGACGACCATCCTGGCAATCATCTGGAGCTCCAACTGGCTCTTTACTCTCTTGGGTGCAATTTAATAATGCCACTGAAATCGAACCAATCAAAACCTCATGGCTCTTAATTTTCTCTGCCTGGGCTGTTGTCTCTTCCTGAATCCTGGCCTGAAAACGATCTCCATCTCTTTCTGGCTTTGGCTTCCGGCTCCATACTTTTTTCCCATTAACAATGGGTGCAGCCCTTGGTTGCACATGGTTACCATGCCTTCGCATATCTCCATTTTTGAGTCCCTGATAATTCTGCTCTGCACGAAAACCATTAGAAAGTCCCCTTTGTGTCTTGGGCAATGCCTGCCACTGGGCAATTACATGCTTATGGCCATTCATTGGTGTTTTCTGATGTTCACCGTTGTGATCAATAGGAAGATGTTCAGGGTAGCCACTGCGAAACCCAGAATGAGACTCGGAATCTTCATCTTCATCAGTTAGAGATTGTTGAGATGTTTCAATAGAAGATGGAGTATGATCAGCCAATATGCCCAAAGAGTCCCTTTCTGAATGGCATTCAGTCTGAGGGCTAGATGATTCTTCAAGTAACACATCTTCAATTGTTTCATCTACACTCCCTTCCATATCAACCTTCTCTTCATGTTTTTGCTCCTTTAACCTTTGTTCTTTCTGCCTTAGCTTCTTCTGCCTTTTTCTTTCCAACAGCTCCGCTTGTCTACAGAGTTACAGAAACAAGCAATCTAAGACAGAGAATTCACAACAAGCAAGTTTTTGAACAGTTAGTATTTTTAGCCAGGTTATTTTATATTCTTATTTTAAGGGTTCAGTGAACCTCCACAAGGAGATAGTAGTAGCGTGGCCAAGTTAAGAACACCAGGATATTCAACAAGACGAAGTATACTGGTTCAAGTAATCTTGATCCTTACCAAGAAATAGTTGTTCAACACAGTAATTTTTGTTCTTTATCAAATAGCATACTTACCATTGATACTACACGACTATTAATGTAAGAATATTTTTCATCTACTCTGACTAACACTACCAAGGTGTATCGTATCCTGCTAGATCAGGCTTACTCTTTCCAAAATTCACTGGAAGGTACCATGAAAAAGAGGAAATTAGATGGAAATGACAATGGATATACCTCCTTTGAGCAGCTTCCTCCTCCTCTACCAGCAACTTCTGGCACCTTAAAGCTTCAGCATCCTTATCAGCAAGCCATGTTTTGACCTTAAAAAAATCATAAGTCCCGTGTTATTGAGCAAAAAGTATATATATATGTATATAATCATGTCAATATGGATATATGATTACATAATAATAGCATATTGCATGTATACACCCCAAATCTGCAACAAAGCAAGAGCTATCAGCTAGACAGAACACAAGTGTATTAAAATTGAAGGGAAATAACTTACCAATTTCTGTTCCAACATGAAGCTCATGCAAGCAACCAAGTTTTTGGTTTCAAGACCAATTTTTACAGCCTCCCCATCAAATATATATTTTTGCATTGAAACAGCTGTTCCACATAGGAACGTTTTTTCGCTTGCATTGTCAAGAATTTCAAATAACTCCTGGGAAGATAATGGAAACCTAGATGGTCTACCTTGTACAATGTCCTGAAAAGGTTCAGGTATGCGATATCAATATGTATTTGTTCACAATAATGCAATGATGATGATAGGTACCAAACTAAAGGCTGGTGGAACATAAACATACCAAAAGGGCTGAACCTGCCCTCAAATAAACATGCGGTAGGGCAGAAAATCCAGGTTTTCCAATGATAACTGTCAGATTCTTGATTACAGCTGACCCTTGTATTCCCTATATGTTTACATAGAATAATCATTTAACAGAAGATAAAACAGACAATAACTAAAAACTGCTAGGATTTTCCTACATATTATGTTCCCTTAATTTTCCATCCGATAATTTAAAGACTGCAAAGAAAGGATAGACATTTTATTCAAGAATTCAGATGAAAAAGTAAGGAAACTGAGGAATGACTTGCCTCAACTGAGACATTCTTGAATGAGACAGCCTCCTTCGTCTCTTCCCAGGTAAGCTGTATAAAACATCAATAAGTCAGTCTTTTAATAAGGGAACTCAACAATGCAGAATAACATCAATGAACAAGTTTTGAAATAAAAGATGAGGCAATGTAGAACAAAGACTACCTTGTCCCAAAATGCTGCTAGTAAATCCCTACTTTTGGCAGAATCCTACAAAGTGCAAATGAACATGTACGTCAAGCAAGCATGAAATCAGTGAGAAAAAGAATATTAGAAGTCAGAATCACAATTTAATTTAATAATCAGCAAGCACGTAGCTCCAAACACGAAGGATGAAGTAATTTTCATAAAATAATGATAAAAAAAAAAACCATCAGATAGAAAAAGAAATACCTTATCAAGCTTTTTCAGCCTATGATGCACTCGTATGTGTCTTCGGTAGTTGATAACTGAGCAAAATTCCCGGGCACACTTCTCACACTTCTGCATTTGAATCTTTAAAGGAGAGAGCAAGGGCCAACCTGGGAGTTCTGTTGAAATAACAAAACATGTTTCAAAGCTATTGAGTCCTAACTGGTAATGGAACGCAAACCATAAGATTTGAATAAAGAATAATGGTACATTCAATGAAAAATTAACCCCCTTCTAGGAGGCCTTGTTATTGTACAAGGATACTCTTGAATTGACTATAAAGAGCAGAGGCATGGACATGTGCGTACACACAGAAAAGCTGAAAAAGCTTTACTAAAACAATAAGGAATTCAACACATGCTAGAAAATTCTTCTAGCTTTGTTCCTGATACCAGCCACTATGCTTGTTGTCTAAAATTGTTGTGTATATCAAAGGATTGCTCTATACTCTTGACTTGAAATGCAAGTGAATGGTACTCAATAAGTCCTATGAAGCAATAATCATTACATCCAAAGGACATAATATGCTACTGCAATACTCCCAACATTTCAGAGAGAGCCCCTTCTTTGCAGATTAATTTAGTTGAACATACTTATAATACCTTGTTGATCGAGAGCATGAAGTAATTGAATCCACTGGACTGGACTCTCACCAGCTCTAGAGAAAGAAAGAAAAGGCTCTTTCCCAATTGCCTGTCTAATAATAGTGTCTAGAGAATCGTTTCCCTCCTCCGATTTCATCACATCTGGATAGTTAGAGGTCTTGAGTTTTGAAACTGGCATCTACACAAGTTTTAAACATAGAATTCGCACAAAATCAGAAAGGAAATATATTACATATCGACAAGCAGTACCTAGTAACCTTGATCATACAACTACACCACTTAGCGATGAATCAAGGAAAAAAAGCACAAATATTAGCTGTAAAGGCGTGCTGCATACAGAAGAGAAAGAAAACTTTCAATCCACTAAGAATGTGCTAGCATATGGGGAAACTATGAAATGGCAAAAGGGCCAAAATACTTTATAGATGACTAAATTTCCATGCTGGATTCAAGTATTGGCCCCAAGTGACAAATTCATTCCACTGCAAATCGTTATAGGGGAAACAAGAACGATCTTCCGCAATTGATTAATAAGTATATCCTAAAAAACAAATAAGTTACTAAAAAATATATATCATAGGAAAACGAAGAGAATTCAATTTGTTTTCCCCAACATTTACAGAACACTTCCAGGGACTCGAAGAAAGAAATCAAGAACAACAGGGAACGGATGAGGAAAAGTCAGCATTATCTAAACGCCATCTCATTCAAAATAATTACACAAATCTCACATCATTATAACAAGACACAACACTTTGGCCAAGTTACGTTCACTATTAGAAGAACCCAATATATAGATACAGACTACATTTCATCCATCTAT